TCAGAGTGGTGACGCTCGTCACCAATCTGGTGACGCTCGTCACCAGCTCCTTCGCGAGGTACCACTTTTCCACCTTGGTTTTACACGTTCTCATGCTTCATTTTGACCAACTCTTGGCTTAATAACACTGGGGACAGTGTTGTTTAAGTCTGGGGGAGGTGGTTACTGACGTTGTGTGCTTTGTGTCATGTTTATAGAGTCTTAAAGTTGAGTCAAAAACCTGTTTTTCTAGAGTCAAAATTTTTGAAACTGTCAGTTTTTCTTGGAACTAGCCATAGGACGTTTTTGCTGATAAGAACCATTGCCATAGTAGTTGATTACAAGTCTCACTAAGTTGAAAGTCATAGGTAGATCAGTCTAGCAATGAAGGTTTAGGTTCTTAGAGAATCTGGAAAATTTGCTGTTAGCTCCACCTTAATGAACTTTAAACCTCTTGTCTTGGTGATTGATTCTTATTGATCTTGATTCTCTCTTTCAGCACTGAAAATAAGGTTAAAATACAGTCTCTCTTTGATTTTTCCTGATGTAGTTTTTAAAAGATTAAGTCCAAAGAATGGTGCATTCATGACCCTGTCTCCTCACAAGGAACAACAGTAGTGAACACACTCAAGAACCTGTCTCCTCACAAGGAACACAAGTATTGAGTAGCACCATATCTTAGACTGAAAAAGTTGAGAAAAAGAAGTGAAAAATCGAAAATATCCTAAGGAAAAAGATTAAGGCAAGAGAAAATAGGAGAGCTGTGTTGAGATTGATTTGTTCAGTTGTTAGGAAGGGAAAAGAATCTGTAAAGTGATTAAGATGATAGAGCCTTGATGAGACTTCATTAGATTAAAAAATTAAGGAGTTAACAGTAGAAGTTTCGGATTTCTTGAAGGGATTTGGACTGGACTTGAGAGATTTGCTAAGCTTGTGATAATTAGACTGAAATTTGATCTTGTGTTGACTCTGTGGTATGTGGATTCGAAAGCTTTAACTAGTGTGGTGTTTCTGATGACTGACTGACTGTTTCTTGTTTTCAAACCTCGACCCTGTACTCTATCTGATGTTTGCTTGAGGGCAAGCAAAAGCTAAGTCTGGGGGAGTTGATATATCATGGTTTTTATGGTTTTTAACCATGATATAAGTCCTTTTTATTGAGTCTTTTTGGTCTTTTTAGAGTCCTAGAAGAGTCTTTGCAGGTTAAAGCATGTCTGGAGCATAATTGGAGATATTGGAACCTTTTGGAGCATTCTGAGTTGAAGCCACGAAGTACCAAGATCGAAGCAGAAAGTATTCACTAATGGTGACGATCGTCACCCCATTGGTGACGCTCGTCACCCAGATAGGAAGGAGCGTGGCTATTTGTTAAAAGTATCAAGAAGAATTGCAGAACTTACCCAGAAGTTTCCTTTATTTATATGAAGACCCCAGATCGTGTTTAGCCCCTATATATTAGGTTTTTCAGCCACTGTTGGCAAGAATCTTAGTTTTGAGAATTGAGAGAGCTAGAGAGAGATTTTATTCAGAGCTTTTTGGGGAGACAAATCCTGTACTCTTTAGAGAAGATTTCGAACCCCCTTTGTTTTTTACTCTTTCTCTTAATGCAATTTTATTCAGTTATGTTTTGTGATCTCATAATCATGTCTGAGTAATCTGCTAGTTAAGTTAGGGTTTTTCAAAAGTTGATGAAAAGAGTGTAGAATCGCTATCTGTTAGGATTATCTCATGGTTTTTCATCTCTGCTTGCTTTAAAATCGAATTTCTGAGACACATCATCTAGGAATCCGAAAATCATAGGTTGTTAAATATTTGTGAGAGCATTATTCATAACATGAACTAGTATTTGATGAGCAAAACAACTTAGTACAAAGAGATTTGGCTTAGGAGTTTTGTAAACAATTGAATCTGATCATCCCTGCATACTTAGGTTGTTAGGGTTTGCAAAGAGATTTGAAACTCTGTGATCTAGGTATAGATAACTTCTACAATGAGAATTGATTAGTTATGCATTAGAGATTCATGTTTAAACACGGTTCTTAATCATTCCTGATTTCCTGCATTCTGCATTCTTGGATTCATACCTGCGAATTACCCTAGCTTAGCGCTTTTAGTCTTCCTGAACTTAGAACATAGCATACCATCGTTTGCTTATTTCTAATTATTCATTCGCATTACATACATCATATTTCGCTTAGCTTAGTCCAAATCTATAATTGATAGTGTAGTTAGCATTACTCTCTTGGGATTTCGATACCCCTTATACTACATCTGCTTTGCTGTGCACTTGCAGTAGTTTTTATTTGGGTAAAACCTGAACCCTATCAGTAGTACCTTGTAAAACTTTTTTAAAGTCATAGTATTCCTAAAAATAAAAGTAACACGTGGTAAAACTTGAATCAGTTACAGGATTCGATTGAAACGGAACCAATGCAACCTTTGCAAATGTTCTTTAATCCGACTGAGTACAAGAAACAGGTGAAGATATCGACCAGGTGTTACATTCACAAGGCAGTTAATACGATAAATTCTTTGAATCTTACCATTGAAGAGAGGAATTGGTTTCACAACCACCCACAATTCAAGCATTTCTTCCATATGTATGACGTCTCAAACCACAAGGTTATGGGCATGTGGATGCTCCTGCTTCGAACGGCTGAAGTTGAGAAGAGAAGGGAGGCTTGGTACATTGTGAATGGCATCCCAATTAGGTATTCTCTCAAAGAACACGCTCTGGTTTCTGGATTAGATTGTCATATCTATCCAGAAAACTATAGCCAGCTGGGGGGTATGAAATTCTCTGGAAGACAGTTTGGCAGAGGAACAACAATCACTTATGCAAAAGTGCATGAAAAGCTGTTGAAGATGAAGAAACCACATCCAGATAGGTTGAAGATGTGTGTGTTGTACTTCCTATGTAGCGTCAGTAGGGAAGGAAAAAACTGGAGCGGGAACACCCTCGGTTGAGAAGTTCTTCATAAGAGCTGTGGATGATCTTGAGCTCTGTAAGACTTTTCCTTGGGGGAGATTCTCGTTTGATGAGAATTTGAAAGATATCCAGAAAGCAATGGTTGATTATAAAGGGGTCGTCGATAGAACATGCAAGTTTCCAAGTTTTTGTACTTCTTTGGAGGTAAAGATTATTCATTGCACCTTTATTCGCTTATTCCTAGTTATTAATTGAGAGATATTGTCTAAGTATCGAAATATATGTATTATGTGCAGATGCTAGCCTTTGAGGCAATTCCAGTGTTGATGAAGACTTTTCGAGAAGACCATAGAGGCGCAGAGAAGAGCTGCCCTCGCATGTGTAAGAGCAAGTTCAAGTCATATGCTATGAAAGGATTTCCTCTTTCGGAAATATATGAAGCACTTGGTACAACTAAGGTTAGAAATTTAAACTTAGTTATCGTTTGCAAATTGATGATTTATGTTTAATCTACACTAGAAATCTAAACTTTATTGTACTTACATGATATTCATAGTGTGTTAGTCCCATATGCTGAAGAGAAATCTCTTGTAGATGGAATATTGGAAGATGGAGATGAGGAGGATGTATATGATGTCATCGTTGATGGTTGGATGAAGCTTATCTCTAAAGACAAAGCGATTTGTTTTCAGAAAATGTACAATGATGTCATGGCTTTCCGAGAAGAAGAGGAAGGTGAGGAGCATGTGGAACCGCTGGAGGTAGAGAACGAGAACAATGCAACCAAGTTCATGGATGAGAAGAAGAAAGCCGTGTTCGAGTATGAGGAGAATCCGGCCAAGTTCATCCATGGGGAGAATGCAGCCACTATTAGTATGGTAGTTAGGCTGGCGTTTGTGATGGACAAAGGGTTCAAAGAGATTAAGGAGAAGATTGGAGAATTTAGCACAAGACTTCTAGCAGTGGAAGGATATGTGAAGGAACAATTAGAGGGGAGGAGGTTGTTTGAAGACATGGATTACCAGTATAATGAACCTGAAAAAGTGGTGGAGAAATCTCAAGTTGGAGAAGCCTTAGGCAAGGAGAAAGTAACACTTTGATTTGAGATTAGAAAACAAAAAGTAGTATTTGGTAACACTAGTATAACTATGTGTTTTTGCTTTGCAGGCGAAATCTGCTGAAGAGAAAAAAGAAGGAGACTTCTCAAATAGCAGAGGAGGAGACGTCGATGGTTACTCCATCTGAAGAACCAGCAGCAACTCTGGAAACAGGCGTTGTGGTTACGGATGAAGAGGATAAGGTAATACTTTGATTTGAGATTAGGAAAAAAAAGTAGTATTTGGTAACATTAGTATAACTATGTGTTTTTTCTTTGCAGTCGACTTCTCAAATAGCAGAGAAGAAGACGTTGTTGGCTACTCCGTCTGCAGAACTAGCAGCTAATGTGCCTGTTGCAGTAGAAAAGCCAGAAAAATCTGCGATTTCATTTGAGAGATGTAGCTCGGTGAGGAAGGTAGGAGATCAGAAGGTGAAGTTCATTAAGAGGACTAGAACATTACATGTGAGCTATCTTTCCGTTCTGATAAGAATTGGAAGCCGTGTTAGCAATGATAACAATTGAATCTTTATTGTCATTGCAGGAAGAAGAAATGGTGCCGAAGACTTACAAAAAAAGAAAATTAGCCAGGCCTGATGGTGAGAAGGAAGGAGGGGAGGAAGGAGAGAAGGAACCAGAGGGAAAGGGTGAACCTAATAAGTGGGGAAAGAAACGTCCCCAGGTTGCCATCAAGCTTGAAAAGAGACTAACGAGGCAGAGTAAGAAGCAATCGGAAGAGGACTGAAACGTGTTATCATGATATTTGTTTTGTAGTACTAGTAAGATTGGGTAAAACTGCGTTTATGATGACTTGGCTTTGTGAAACGTGATCAGAAGTTTGCTTTTGTACTACGTTTATATGATAACTTTGCTTTTGTGTTACTATTAACTTAAAACTAGCATTCATATCGAAATTGAACTACTTTAAAGAAACATAGTGTATTACTAAGAAAACTTAAGAAAACATTAGTAATATTAGTAGCCGCCATTGATAACTTAAGAAAATACAAGCAAAATGGAACATTTGTCTTGAACAACATTAAGCTTGGCTATCTCTTCGGCTTGGATCTGAATCTGTTTTCGCATTTCTTCAATCTTCTTGCTTTGCTCTTCAACTTTCGTAACTAGCTTCTCAATCTCTTGTTCGACTCCGAAAACCCATGGCTGACGAAAGTGGAGTCCATCATCCTAGCAAAAAAACGAGCAACATCCATTATAGTTATACCTAGTATTCCAAATTTTACACCCAAAGAACATCTAAATAGTTTGACCTAGTTTTACTAGTTTTCCCTAGAAAAAAACCCAGATCTGAAATTATAAAGATTATACCTTAAATTTGGTACAAGTGAAGTACCTACTACCTGGTTGAGTATCGAAATCGTGTTTAAATTTTGGAGAAGGAGATACATCGTGCTTGATATATCCACCACATGGGCATCTTGTCGGAATCCCATATTGGCCGTCGGCGACGAATCCAACCCTGTCCTAATGCTGCTTCATCTTCTCCATTTCCTTGCGGCGCCTCTTCTCTTCCTTCAACTCCTCCTCATACGGGTCGATGAGGAAATTGTCCGTGTAGTGATAACTACAATCCGAATCCATTTGGATCGTGTGAGAGAGAGAGGAGAGATCGATTTTAAGAGAGAGAGGGAGAGGAGAGGATGAGAGATTTCTTTGAGATAGAGATGAGAGATCGATTTTAAGAGAGAGAGAGAGAGAGAGAGAGAGAGAGAGAGAGAGATTTTGTAAGTGAAAGTGAAAGTTTTTATTGAGAAAATTTTGTATTCTCCTGCGAAAATTTTCAGTTTTCCCCCAAAAAATTACACTCTCCTGTGAAAAAATTCAATTTCCCGCTGAAAAACCACACGTGCGCCGTCATTTTCTCATGTGTGTGCCATCAAATCGTGGCAATTTTTCACTTAGTTATTCCAAGTTATCCAGTATTACTTGCTTTCAAACAGTGTTACTTTTGGGGTTTTTAAAGTTTTAATTAGTATTTTCTTGTCAAAAACTAATATTTTGTAGTTGTACCGATCATTGTAGTTTAGTTATGTACATCCCAACTCTTTTAAGTAGATAAATATATAAAATCACATTATTATGTGATTTTAGATTTTAATGTGGTTCATATTACCAAAGTGATCATGAAAGTATAAGGAGTTTATTGAGTACATTATCTAATTTCGATAGTAATACTAATATTTTTGCTTTATAATTAAAACATGTGTTTTATATGTAATAAGTATTTATACAACATATAATTGTGCAGTTTCTTCACACTTGTTTTGTTTTAACAATATATTTCCAAAGTTCTACAAAAATATAATTTCAAAGAAATACAAATCTGAACATCAATTTTACCAAGTTCTACAAAATATAATTTCAAAAAAATACAAATCTGAGCATCAGTTTTACCAAGTTTTACAAAAATATAATTTCAAAGAAATACAATTTCCATCAGATATCATTGTTCAGATACTATGAATCGGCTCAAACCAACTCCCCAACTTCCTTCCTGCCACCCTTTTATTGCTGGGTTTTGGGCGCCTTTCTCCAACTGATGGATACCTCTTCTCTTGATTTCTTCCCTTCTTTTTGACGTAGTCAGGAGGGAAGATCTGCAGTTCTTTTATTTCATCCGGAATAGTCCACTCACACCTAGCCGACATTGGATAAATGGTCCTGTAGTATGCCAATGCCCACTGCTCCGCCAAATAATAAGGCGAACACAAATCATGAAATTGGATATCTCTCACTCTATTTGGGCGCTTCCAATATTCTGTGACCCCAGTTATTGCGTGCTCACAAGGATACTTGTCAATATCGAAACATCTGCATGTGCAAATTTTCCTTATCAAGTTCACCACATATGACTTACCGTCGCTTCCATTGACACGGTATTCAAGCTCAAATGTGTTTAACTCAATCACAGTTAAGAGTGATGCAGTCTTGCATCTTTCATCCACTATGTTTATCCACAATAGGCACCAGCTTTTGTGCATTTGATCCAGCAACAGATTCATTCCTATGCTTGTTAAACCATTCACCAATTTTCTCTAGTATCGTATCTATCAAGGGTAATAAGGGATACTTCCTTTCTGTCCTAAACACTTTATTCATGGATTCTCCTATATTGGTGGTGTCTACGTTGTACCTCTGTCCTGGAAAATAACACCTCGCCCATTTTTCCACCTCACAACTCTCTTTCAGATACGCAGCCACAGAAGGATATCTGCTACATAAGTCATCAAAAACACGATGGAACTCAACCTCCGTATAGATCTTACCAACCTCTTTGAATCTACTTGACACTAAGTCTTTGTTGACATTGTTAACTTTAGTTCTCACATTATAGGACAAATGCCATAGACAATACCCATGTTGAGCGATCGGATACACCTCTCGTATTGCCTTGATGAGGCTTGGATTTCTGTCAGTAGTAAATACCAATTCAGGCGAGTCTGGTATAACAGTTTTCAGCATACTGAAAAACCACTTCCAACTTGCATCTTTCTCACCATCAAGGACACCAAAGGCTATGGGATAATGGTGGTGGTTAGGATCCTGAGATGTGGCAAAAATTAGGACACCCTTATATATTGTCTTCAGAAAAGTTGCATCCACAACTATCATTTTTCTCATGGGTTGAAACCCTTCAATGCTAGCTCCCAAAGCAACACAGAGATATTTGAACTTTTTCGCTTCATCCACCTCCACTCTTGTTTTTGTACCAGGACTCACCTTCTCTAACATGTGCATATAACTGTACAACAGCTCATAACTTTCTTCTGCATTACCACGAACATCTCTTACAGCTTGATATTTTCCTCCCAATGCGGTTAAGTATGATACTTTTACACCAAGTCTTCCCCGAACTAGACTGATGAGACTTTTAGAAGTTGGGGTGTTAAATTGTCCAGGATAATCATCATGCAATACAGAAGCAACTAGTCCTGGTGTGCCTTTTCTTCTATAGCTGCTTGTACTCGCAGTAGTCCGAGAGCATGTGTGCATATTGGTGTACACTCTAACAGAGAAATAACTTGAATTGCTAACCTTCGCAACTCTTAGATGCCATTTACAACCTCTTGACGATATTTGAGCACTAATCGCGTCTTATCAGACTTGACAACGCCAAACACAAAACAATTCTGAAATGCACCTTTCTCAACCAACTCTTGCACTGTATTTTTATTTGCAAAATCTTGTCCTACTTGCAGACCCAAACCGTCCTCCCATTCCTCTCTAAGCTGACTATCCCGACTAATACCTGTAGGATCAACATATTCTTCATTTCTGAAATCGTTTCCAACAGATTCATTCACATCGTCATCTAATCCATTCTCACTCACTCCCATAACATTATCCTCCAACGGCTCTTGCTGTTCTACTGGTTGTACATTACTTACATAGAGAGTAATGGCACCAGCATTTACTAGATCATCAGTTGAATGTAAATCACCATAATTCACACCAACAGAACTTCCTACACCTACTTTAGAAATTTGCTCGCCCCGCTGATCTATTTCCAAATCTGTAATGACCTCTACATGCAAAACACTTCTACATTTCTCTTCGTCCATTGATGTCAGATAAGAATACGCATCCTCATCATCGAAAATCAGTGATGCTCTCTTTGGTTTACATACCAAAGGAATGAAGCTCAATTGCAGTTTCACCGTACTTTCATCTAACCCAATCTTCCTGCATATCCTACCTTTTAACACTGAATAACTTATCTTTTCCATACATGTCTTAAACGTTAAATCATAGACATGGCCTACAGAATTCCATATTTCATATGCTCCGGTCTTTGAATAACTTCCTCCGTAATCAAAATATAAGTTTACGGTTGTGCCCATTGTCGTCTGAGAACAAAATATAAAAAATAAATCATCAACGTCATTCAGTAATACCAAGTAATACCAAGTAATACCCAGTTGTGCTTTTTGAGTGGGTTCTAGTTTTACTTTCTTACTTAGTAATACCAGTTCAACCCAGTTATACTTGTGTACTCAGTAATACAAGTTCTACCCTGTTTTACTTTCGAACTCAGTAATACCAGTTATATCCAGTTTTACTTTCGTACTTATTAATACCAGTTCTACCCAGTTTTACTATCGTTCTTGCAACTCCTTTCGTTCGGGCTGATATGAAGATGATTCTAATCTAATCATGGTTTCCTACGATTATGCAAATAAAATTCATTTATTGCCAATGCATCGTCCTTAACGACACATACAACATTGTGAATTACACAAATATGCGTACAAATGGATTACAAATGGATTCCAATTCAAAGTTTTTTCAATTCATAATTTTCAAAATACCAAATTGAATTCCAATTTACAACTCGATTGGAGATGACGAGATATGCTTAAAACACACCTGTATTCACCGGACTTTGTAAGGATTGAAGACAGTGTGCAATGGACTGAGAGCTCGAGCTATACATCAATGGCAGATCCGATGGCGAATCCCAGGGATGTCGTGAGGAGAAAAGGAGGAAAGACAAGAAAGATTTGTGTTCTGATTGGTTAAAAATAGTGCATTCTCATTGGTCCAATTTTTATTATCTTTTACTTTTTATTTAGTTGAGAATAAGGTTAAAATAGGTATATCACATTTCATTACAAGAACAAAAAGGTACATAGATTATGGAAAGGGTATTTTGTTTAGTTTCTCCTCAATAAGGGCAGATCAGATCATCATCCCGTAGACAATAGATGCCTGATTGCGGAAGGGGACTTTTGGCCTTTTCAAGGTAAAACAAAAAACGCTTAGAAAATTTTCGAATATATGGGAAAGTGAAAGAAGAAGAAAATATATATTTTACTGCCTAACTATTTTACAAGGTAAAATAAATTTTCCCAAAAGCAAACCTATTATATTATTTGTGAGGTGATTTTGAAAAATGTTCAATCATTCCTTTTCGTTAAGTATTACTCCTTCTGTTTTTTAAAGTAAGATGTTTTAGGTTTTTTCTTGTTTTCAAAAGTTTGATGTTTTAGATTTTATTTAATATATTTAGTTTTACAAGAAATCTTTTAGCATTGAAAAGAGAAAAGTAGTATTAAGATAATAATAAAAAAACAAAAAAATAGTTAAAAAGTAAAGAGAAAACAATGATAAAATTGTATCTTAAAATGTGTGAATCCTAAAACATCATACTTTAAAAAACGGAGAAAGTATCTAATTATCTTTAAATCTTTAA